ACCACTTGATCCCCACCCAAGTCCCTTTGCCTGTGCTCACCATCCCCCTGCAGACAGCCAGTTGCACTTCTGTGGGAGTGAGATGCAAGGCGGCGTGCCCTTAGTGAAAACCACCATCCCACCTCTTGATCCCCACCCAAGTCCCACTGCTTGTGCTCACCATCCCCCTGCAGACAGCCAGTTGCACTTCTGTGGGAGTGAGATGCAAGGCGGCGTGCCCTTAGTTAAAACCAACATCCCACCACTTGATCCCCACCCAAGTCCCACTGCCTGTGCTCACCATCCCCCTGCAGGCAGCCAGTTGCACTTCTGTGGGAGTGAGATGCAAGGCGGCGTGCCCTTAGTTTAAACCACCATCCCACCACTTGATCCCCACCCAAGTCCCACTGCCTGTGCTCACCATCCCCTTGCAGGCAGCCAGTTGCACTTCTGTGGGAGTGAGATGATAGGCAGCGTGCCCTTAGTTAAAACCACCATCCCACCTCTTGATCCCCATCCAAGTCCCACTGCCTGTGCTCACCATCCCCCTGCAGGAAGCCAGTTGCACTTCTGTGGGAGTGAGATGCAAGGCGGCGGGCCCTTAGTTTAAACCACCATCCCACCACGTGATCCCCACCCAGTCCCACTGCCTGTGCTCACCATCCCCGTGCAGGCAGCTAATTGCACTTCTGTGGGAGTGAGATGCAAGGCGGCGTGCCCTTAGTTAAAACCACCATCCCACCACTTGATCCCCACCCAAGTCCCACTGCTTGTGCTCACCATCCCCCTGCAGGAAGCCAGTTGCAGTTCTGTGGGAGTGAGATGCAAGGCAGCGGGCCCTTAGTTTAAACCACCATCCCACCACGTGATCCCCACCCAAGTCCCACTGCCTGTGCTCACCATCCCCCTGCAGGCAGCCAATTGCACTTCTGTGGGAGTGAGATGCAAGGCGGCGTGCCCTTAGTTAAAACCACCATCCCACCACTTGATCCCCACCCAAGTCCCACTGCCTGTGCTCACCATGCCCCTGCAGGCATCCAGTTGCACTTCCGTGGGAGTGAGATGCAAGGCGGTGTGCCCTTAGTTTAAACCACCATCCCACCACTTGATCCCCACCCAAGTCCCACTGCCTGTGCTCACCATCCCCCTGCAGACAGCCAATTGCACTTCTGTGAGAGTGAGATGCAAGGCGGCGTGCCCTTAGTTAAAACCACCATCCCACCTCTTGATCCCCACCCAAGTCCCACTGCCTGTGCTCACCATCCCCTTGCAGGCAGCCAGTTGCACTTCTGTGGGAGTGAGATGCAAGGCAGCGTGCCCTTAGTTAAAACCACCATCCCACCTCTTGATCCCCACCCAAGTCCCACTGCCTGTGCTCACCATCCCCCTGCATGCAGCCAATTGCACTTCTGTGGGAGTGAGATGCAAGGCGGCGTGCCCTTAGTTAAAACCACCATCCCACCACTTGATCCCCACCCAAGTCCCACTGCCTGTGCTCACCATGCCCGTGCAGGCATCCAGTTGCACTTCCGTGGGAGTGAGATGCAAGGCGGTGTGCCCTTAGTTTAAACCACCATCCCACCACTTGATCCCCACCCAAGTCCCACTGCCTGTGCTCACCATCCCCTTGCAGGCAGCCAGTTGCACTTCTGTGGGAGTGAGATGCAAGGCGTCGTGCCCTTAGTTAAAACCACCATCCCACCTCTTGAGCCCCACCCAAGTCCCACTGCCTGTGCTCACCATCCCCCTGCAGGAAGCCAGTTGCACTTCTCTGGGAGTGAGATGCAAGGCGGCGGGCCCTTAGTTTAAACCACTATCCCACCACGTGATCCCCACCCAAGTCCCACTGCCTGTGCTCACCATCCCCTTGCTGGCAGCCAGTTGCACTGCTGAGGGCGTGAGATGCAAGGCGGCGTAAACCCCCCTCCAACCACTTGATCCCACCCCTTTGTGCTCACTGCCTGTGCTCACCATACGCTGGATGCAAGTGTCGGGATTGTTGTGTGTCAGAATATATCTGTAACTGCCTGTAGCTGTAGTTAGTGTAGTAATTATGAACTTTGTTTGGTGGTGCACCTTCTTTGTTACTTTGCTATATGTTCTGGCAAACCTATAGTGAAGCCCCTCATTTCTCCTTTCAACTTTCTCGACACTCTCCTCAACCCTAAACCTAAACTACTAAGAACCTAACTAGCCATGGCTCCTACGTCAAGCTAGACTTTAACATTGTGGGCGTGGGATGCAAGGCCACAATGATTCAAAACTACCCTCCCACCACTTGATTCCCCACCCACCCACCACATGCATGTGCTCACCATCCCCCCGGAGGCAGCCCGTTGCACTGCTGTGAGCGTGGAATGGAATGAGCATTCAATTGATTTCACAACTCTATCCCATCCTGACCTCAACACCCACACCCTTCCAACCTTCCGCACCCTACAGGTGCTCTTTCGTGGGACTTGTTGACGTGGCATCATAATCGACTGGGGATCCCGTTCGCCTCTGATTTTTCACCCTTGCGATTTTCCACTCGTTTGAGAGGCCGGGTCATGCCGTCTTAGTCCTCCATTTCTAGCAGATCGCCTTCTTCCTGCTAGGGGTATGTAAACTTTTGAAGCTTGCTTGAGAATGTTTGCCATTGCTGTCTCTGTTCTAAAGATCCCCTTCTTCGTGCTGCAGGTTGAGTACAAGCTCATGAAGAACGAAGAGATGTCGCGCAGCTCAGTTGACAACAAGCGTGCTCTTGCGATCTACCATTCCAACGTGCACAACGCCGTTGCTTTTGCTGTTCAGAACCGGAACCCTGCGACGGGTCCTTGGTGGCAGGCTGAGTACAAAGCGTGGAAGTTTAACGAGGCAACGAAGAGGGTCTTGATCAGTTGCGAGGGGCTGCCGGGATTGCAGGGCCCCTAATGTTAAGACGGTTGCAGTATATGAGTGCCTAACACGTAGAGTGCAAGTGTGTGTGTCGGCCCAACTCTTGGTAGTTTGCTGTAGTTTGTGTGAATGCTTGCTTTTGTGCACGTTTGTAGTTTCAGCTAATTGTTTTGTAGACCTAATTTGTAATTTGCTTTTAATAATATCTAATTATTAATATATATAATCATTATCGTTTAATATATAATTACCAATTCCCATAAATACTAAATAGATATGCTATTTGTAGGTTATGATACTCATTTGATATATGCATGTATGAAAATGTACTAAATATCAATTGTAACGAAACAAGTAACAACGTAACTGTTACGAATTCTGGTAAGTTATTCACCACTACTTTTTTGCCAAAGTGGCGTTCGTCTGAACGCCCACGTCACCATGTTCATTCCGAAATGTGTGGAACAAACTCAAAACTTTCGGACACTTGTCAAATATTGGATGGCTGAGATAATGTCACGGATTTGACATCTACTGACAAGAGCTTTTCACTCCCAAACCCAACACCAATAACATAACGCCAGAGCCGACTGACACTATGACGCGCGAAATGTTGTGATTAGGCGCGGCCATGGACCTGCTCACATTTCGACCAATGAAAACGATCGCAATTACTGCCGACAGAAATTACGAACAAATGAAAGGCGACAAAGCCGTTCGCTCCTGCTGAGTTACACTTTCGCGTGAGACTTCACTGTCAGAATATATCTGTAACTGCCTGTAGCTGTAGTTAGTGTAGTTATTATAAACTTTGTTTGGTGGTGCACCTTCTTTGTTACTTTGCTATATGTTCTTGCAAACCTATAGTGAAGCCCCTCATTTCTCCTTTCAACTTTCTCGACACTCTCCTCAACCCTAAACCTAAGCTACTAAGGCACCTAAATCTATGGCTCCTAAGCCTACTAAACTCTAGGAACTTCAACATGGTATTCAGAGCAGGTAACTTCGTACTGCCTTCCTGCGTCCGCTGCCTATCGTCCTGACGCGCGCCTCGGGCGCGCGGCGTGGCGCACGGCGATTTTCTACCCGCCGTGTGCTCGGGGCGCACGGCGGGCTTCTGCCCGCCGTGCGCCCTGGGCGCGCGGCGTCTTCCTGCCCTGCGCGTGGCCTGCCCTCACGCCGCCTGCGCGCCTGCCTCACGTCCACGCGCGGGCCTGTTTTGCCCGCCCGTACCCTCCACTTCGCGGCGCCCTGCGAGGCGCCGCTCCTGCTCGTCATGACGCACCCGCGGGACCCGGGCGTCGCCGCTCCTGCTCGTCGCGACGCCCCTGCAGGACCCGCACGGCGCCGCCTTGCTCATCGTGACGCCACTGCGGGACCCGCGGGGCGTCGCCACTGCTCGTCGCGGCGCCCCCTCGACGCCGCCCCTGCTCGTCGCGGCGCCCCTGGGGCGTCGCCCCTACTCGTAGCGGCACCCCTTGGGCGCCGTTCCTACTCGTCGCGGCGCCCTCCCCCTTGGCCACCGCCTCTGCCTCAACTGCGCCCGCGCCAGCGTTGCAGCCGAGCGCGGGCCTACCTTGCACCAGCGCCGCCCCTGGACCTCAGCAGCAGCCCCTGGAGCAGCCGCCCCAACAGCAGCAGCCCCTGGAGCCGCCGCCACTGCAGCGGCCGCCCCAGCAGCAGCAGCGCCTGGAGCAGCCGCCCCAGCAGCAGCAGCCCCTGCAGCGGCCGCCCCAGCAGCAGCAGCGCCTGGAGCAGCCGCCTCAACAACAGCAGCCTCCCCTGGACCCCGCGAGCCGCCCCAGCAGCAGCCCACGGCGCCGACCCCACAGCTCTATGCACCGCCGCTCCTGGACTCGGTACGGCTGCCCGTGCCTGTGCTGACTGTTGCTGCCTGTGCGTGTGCTGCCTGTTGCCGCCCGTTGCTGCTTGTGCCTGTGCTGCCCGTTGCTGCCTGTTGCTGCCTGTGCTTGTGCTGCCTGTTGCCGCCCGTTGCTGCCCGTGCCTGTGCTGCCACTTGCTGCCCGTGCCTGTGCTGCCCGTTGCTGCCTGTTGCTGCCCGTGCCTGTGCTGCCTGTTGCCACCCGTTGCTGCTTGTGCCTGTGCTGCCCGTTGCTGACTGTTGCTGCCTGTGCCTGTACTGCCTATTGCCGCCCGTTGCTGCCCGTGCCTGTGCTGCCTGTTGCTGCCCGTGCCTGTGCTGCCTGTTGCCGCCCGTTGCTGCCTGTGCCTGTGCTGCCTGTTGCCGCCCGTTGCTGCCCGTGCCTGTGCTGCCCGTTGCTGCCCGTTGCTGCCCGTGCCTGTGCTTCCCGTTGCTGCCCGTGCCTGTGCTGCCCGTTGCTGCCTGTTGCTGCCTGTGCCTGCGCTGCCCGTTGCCGCCCGTTGCTGCCCGTGCCTGTGCTGCCTGTTGCCGCCCGTTGGTGCCCGTGCCTGTGCTGCCCGTTGCCGCCCGTTGCTGCCCGTGCCTGTGCTGCCCGTTGCTGCCCGTGCCTGTGCTGCCCGTTGCTGCCTGTTGCTGCCCGTGCCTGTGCTGCCTGTTGCCGCCCGTTGCTGCTTGTGCCTGTGCTGCTCGTTGCTGCCTGTTGCTGCCTGTGCCTGTGCTGCCTGTTGCCGCCCGTTGCTGCCCGTGCCTGTGCTGCCTGTTGCTGCCCGTGCCTGTGCTGCCTGTTGCCGCCCGTTGCTGCCCGTGCCTGTGCTGCCTGTTGCCGCCCGTTGCTGCCCGTGCCTGTGCTGCCCGTTGCCGCCAGTTGCTGCCCGTGCCTGTGCTTCCCGTTGCTGCCCGTGCCTATGCTGCCCGTTGCTGCCTGTTGCTGCCTTTGCCTGCGCTGCCCGTTGCCGCCCGTTGCTGCCCGTGCCTGTGCTGCCTGTTGCCGCCCGTTGGTGCCCGTGCCTGTGCTGCCAGTTGCCGCCCGTTGCTGCTCGTGCCTGTGCTGCCTGTTGCCGCCTGTTGCTGCCCGTTGCCGCCCATTGCTGCCCGTTCCTGTGCTGCCCGTTGCCGCTCTGCTGCTGTCCGCGCCCTCGTGCGCCCTGCTGCTGCCCGCGCCCTTGTGCGCTCTGGTCTGCATGCGCCCTCGTGCGCTCTGCTGCTGTCCGCGCCCTCGTGCGCCCTGCTGCTGCCCGCGCCCTTGTGCGCTCTGGTCTGCCTGCGCCCTCGTGCGCTCTGCTGCTGCCCGCGCCCTCGTGCGCCCTGCTGCTGCCCGCGCCCTTGTGCGCTCTGTTCTGCGTGCGCCCTCGTGCGCTCTGTTCTGCTCTGTCGCCCTTGCCCCCCCCCCCCCCCCCCCCCCCCCTTCTTCTTCTCCTTGCTGCGCGTGCAAGCGTGGAACGGAGGCTATGGGGGTGGCGAGTTTGGGGGTGATGGGTGTGTGTGATCCCCTTCCCCTCCTCCTCCTTTCTCTCCCACTGCTGCAGCTGCCGCTGGGGGGGGGTGGGTGTGAGAGTGTGGGGGAGCTGGGAGAGAGGTGCCAGGGTTGTCGAGGAGTGTGGAAAGGGGAGTTGGAGGACTGAGGAAGGTTCAAAGAAGCAGCCGCCTTTGAGCCAGCAGCTTCACCTGACAGCAGCTTCTCCTCATATAGTCCCTCCTCCTCACTTGCCCTCTCCTCCTGCGCTTGGTGTACCCCTTCAGGGGGTGTCTCTGCATTAGCTTCTGCTGCAGGCAGTTATGGGGGAGTGTCAGAATATATTTGTAACTGCCTGTAGCAGTAGTTAGTGTAGTTATTATAAACTTTGTTTGGTGGTGCACCTTCTTTGTTACTTTGCTATATGTTCTTGCAAACCTATAGTGAAGCCCCTCATTTCTCCTTTCAACTTTCTCGACACTCTCCTCAACCCTAAATCTAAGCTACTAAGGCACCTAAATCTATGGCTCCTAAGCCTACTAAACTCGAGGAACTTCAACATTCACAACTGAATGGGCCCTTCGCCAATCACACATTCGTTCCAACCTGCAAGTAACTTTCCACAAGGTTTACGTTCGGGAGGCCCCAATCCTCGCATCGCGTGATTCAGTATGTTCGCCAGAAACTACATAGCTGATTTCTAGACACCAACCACAAAGTAACTATCAATTAGCTTCAAAGTAGGTTCAGCTTCCATGTATTTTTGGGATGGACGGATCAGTGCCCAGCCAGGCAACGTATGCCTACCGTCTAACCAGCGGCTCCACGCGTGGCACCAACGCATCCCAAAGTCCTTGACTCGCGTGCTCCCTGGTCAGCCACGTGTATGACGTCGACAGTGGTGAAGGACACTTCTGATGCTGAGAAGGGTGGATTGTGACGTGACGACGGCGTGAAGGCGGGATGATGGGGGGGAATCGGTTTGGCCCTTCGCACCTCAGATGCCATTTGGCCAACTTCATTGATACTCAAATTATGTCAGGAGCGGTTTGCAAACCTAATCAACCAAAAAGTTCGCAGTATAGTAACTACAAATAATGTTGTCTCTAGTAATAAGCACAATCATGAAACAATATCGCCACCAGCAGCTCCGCACATACCCAACAAAAAAGAAAACATAATAAAACGCTTGGATAACCCTATATGTAATGTATGATTACACGAAATCATATTATGAGGTCAAGTGCTTATGATTATCAAGTGCTCATGATTATCTGCTATGACAAACGACACCGCCTAACGGAGCCTGCTACCCACGGGCAAATAAAAAATAACTCTCCTGATAAAAAGAATCCAGTCAGAATGGCATTAAACCTAAACACCTTGTCGCATGATGTTTAGTTAATGCTATCTGATGGGGTTCTATTTTTCTTCCGTACGAGGTCAGCAGGTCCACGGTCAACGAAGGGTTAATGGTGAGTTATTCCGAGTCTGCATCCTTTTTTTCCAATGATTTTGATGGGTTGAGTATTCAATGTTTTTTTACTATTCTTAGGTAGCCCCTCTACACAATAGTGTATATTTGAGTCTGGTAATTGCCTTCTGTTTCTGTCATATTTCGGGGGTGTTATTAGCTTGAAAAGTATGATCGAAAAGCGAGCACCAATCAGCGATGAGAAATCGAGGTTGTCAAATATAGGAGTACGGCCTAGGCTTAGTAGCCTAGGCCACAGTAGGACTAGAACGAGGAGGCGCCAAGTACAAGCTAGGAACTTGTGCACGAACAGAATTGAGAAGAGATGATTGAACTACCAAGCAGCAGGATACAAATAGCAAACCCTAGGGGGCTGTACTCACTATTGAGTGCCCCACTGCAGGCTACACAAACAACATATTCTGACACACCCCCATAGCCAAAGTGGGGTGTAATCAGCACAATGAGCAGGCAGTGCAATAGTTCACAATTATGAGCAAAGCTAGTGGTAGTCACAGCAGGCAAGTGAGGAGGGGGAGGGACTGTGAGAGGAGAGAAGATGGGAGACGACGGCTGAAGCTGCAGACACACGGACAACAGGAGCGGCTGGCACAGTGGCTACCGGGACAGCGCCCTGGACTACTGGAGTAACTGGCTCACGGGCTACGAGGAGCTACAGGAGCAACGGACCCACGGGCAACAGGCGCAGCAGGCTCTCTGGGCTACCAGGACAGCGCCCCAGACTACAGGTGCTGCGGACGACAAGACGGCTGCCTCCACTCAACCTCCCCCAACTGTCCCACACCCCCAGTTTCACCCCTTGCTCCACTCCCACATCACCCCCCTAGCTCCACTCCCCACAGCTCCCACACCTCCACCCCCCTCAGCCGCAGCTACAGCAGTGGGAGACGAAAAAGGAGGAGAGGAGAACCCACACCTCTCACCCCCATGCTTGCCACCCCACACCCCCATCACCGCGGAATGGGAGCAATGGGCAGCAGGGGGGGGGGGGGGGGGGGGGACGGGACGGGCTTCCGCAGGGGCGGCTCGCGCGAGTCCTGGGGCAGCTGCTGCAGGCACGGGCTGCTCCAGGGGCGGCTGCTGCAGGCACGGGCTGCTCCAGGGGCGGCTTCTGCAGGTGCGGGCTGCTCCAGGGGCGGCTGCTGCAGATGCGGGCTGCTCCAAGGGCGGCTGCTGCAGTGGCGGGCGGCTCCAGGGGCGGCCGCTGCAGGTGAAAGGTAGGAGGAGGGGGTGGGGGGGGGGGAGGGGGGGGGGGGGAACGCACGGCCCCTAAGGCGCCCCGAGGGGCGACAAGAAGGGAGCCGCGCGCCCCCCCCCTGGGGCGCCGCGACGGGCTCCAGGGAGGGCGCCGCGACGGGCCCCCAGAGCCGCCTCGACGGGCGACGACGAGGGCGCCGCGCGGGCCCCCCGAAGTCGCCGCGACGGGCGACGGGGAGGGTGCCGCGCACGGCCCCCGAAGTCGCCTCGACGGGCGACGGGAGGGGACCGCTCGCGGCCCCCGTGGTCGCCACGACGGGCGTCTGGTGGGGAGGCCGCGCGGGCCCCCAAGGTCGCCTCGATGGGCGACGGGAGGGGAGGCCGCGCGGGTCCCCGAGGTCGCCTCGACGGGCGACGGGAGGGGAAGCCGCACGGGTCCCCGAGAGCGCCTCGACAGGCGCTTCAACGGGAGGGGACCGCGGAGGCCCCCCCAAGGGCACCACGACGGGCACCACGGAAGGGAAAACCGCCAGGCGCCCCGAGCGCGCGGCGGGCAGAAATTAGGAGTTCGCCGCCGCGCACCACGGGGCGCGCGGCGGACAGTACGGCAGCGGAAGCGGGTGGTGGGCCCATACACAGGAAGGCGGCAGACATGCCGCCCTCTGATACCATGTCAAATATAGGAGGAGTACGGCCTAGGCTTAGTAGCCTAGACCACAGTAGGACTAGAACGAGGAGGCGCCAAGTACAAGCTAGGAAGTTGTGCACGAACAGAATTGAGAAGAGATGATTGAACTAGCAAGTAGCAGGATACAAATAGCAAACCCTAAGGGGCTGTACTCACTATTGAGTGCCCCACTGCAGGCTACACAAACAACATATTCTGACAGAGGTTGAGTACCGATGCAAAACATCTCTGGCATAATCTGAGTATCAAAGAAGTTGGCCGGATGCCATTGCCTAGCGGGCACGGGAGGGGTGGGCGGGAACCGTCCCATATTTCCGCTGAAAACCCGTTGGCGATGTTCCCACTCATTTGGTAACTCCATTAACGCGTTGGTAACTCGAGACCTGACTGTTATGAATGAACTTACATCGTGCACGCAATGAAGTAATAACTAGAGTGAATTATTGAATGACGATACAATGAAAACGACATATTAAAAAAGGGAGGATTTCTGGCTAGGGGGGGGGGGGGGGGGACGTCGGGCGAAGATGGGTCACCCCAAAAATGTCGAAGGGGATTTTAGTAGGTGAAATCCAATCGTTCCAATCCATATCGTTTGTGTCCGCACAAACATTCACCAGATGAAAAACACTTTGTATGTACAATTTGAAAGCGTATACAATTTTATGCTAGTTTTGCACCAATTTTATTTCACGTGTATTGTGTTTGTATATTTTTCAGAGTTTTACAAATTTTGTTCCGATACTAGACGAATAATTGGGACATTGGCAAAAAGGCTTATCTGAAAATGCTAGACATATTGAAATGATTATGCTTTCTTGCAATGACATACGTATCTGAGAGCCTCTTTGAAAATGCTTCAACATTTGGAACACCAACTGGCAGGAATGAGTTCACTAGCAAGGAATGAAAGTACAAGTACATAACTCCAAAAGTGTTGTACTCTGTACGAGCTACCCCACAACAGCCTACAAACATATAATATAGTTTTGACACACCCCCATAGGCAAAGTGAGGGAGAGCCAACGGTCACAAGACCAGTCAAGAAAAACAAAGGAAGCTCAGGGTGGATCACAAAGCCACCAAACGCTCTGAGCACAAGCACATGGCCACAAGGCCGGTCCACATGCAGAGTTATATATATATAATAGCAAATAGTACAGTGATCACTACCTAGCAAGAGTAAGCATTCAGGTATATATATATAGGTCACAGTACAAGCAAAGTCAAGCAGTGAGCAAGTGAGGCAAAGTAGGCACAAGGCCCCACACAGTACAGAAGCGCTGATGATCACCAGGCAGAAGCGCCTTGGTGAATATATCAGCAGTGTTGGCCCGGGTGGGCCCGTAAGCAAGGCGAAGCTGACCACGATGCTGCAACTCTCGAGCAAGGAAGTAACGCAGAGCAATGTGCTAAGTTCTGTGCTCCAGTCTGTGCTCCTGACACAAGGCAATTGCAGCCTTGTTTTCTACATACAGAACTGGAGGAGAACGAGGCCGCTCTCCCAAGTCAGTTAGCAGGTAGGTAAGCCAGCGTAACTCCTATGCAGCCATGGCTCCCGCATAGATTTCAGTCTCACAACAAGAGCTGAGAACAGAAGACGAGCGTGTAGACCGCCAAGAAACAGAATCGGAGCCAAGGCTGAACCTGTAACCCTGAGGCGACCGCTGCGTAGCCAGGTCATCAACACAAGAAGCGTCTGAGTGTCCAGTAAGGACAACTGGACCCCGCCCTCCAAGCACGAGCCCCATGCCTGATGTACTGCACAATTAACGCACTACCCTCTTCGCAGCATCCCAGTGCACCTTTCGGTGTCTACCAGGAGCCACGTAGCGTGCCAAAAGGCCAAGAGGGTACGCAAGGTCAGGACGAGTGCAGGTCATTAGGTACATGAGGCAGCCCACTAGCTCTGGATACGGGCCACTCGGCTCTACGGACTCGTCCGAAGGTGGAGCTGAAAGCGAGTGACCGGTAGGCAGAGGAGTGGACTGTGGTGAGGACCAAGTGAAGCCGAAGCTCTGAAGGACCTGCTGCACCATGTGTGACTGAGTGAAGGTAATGGTGCGCCGTGCTCTGTCCCGGGTTATCTGCAAGCCAAGGTAGCTGCGCAACTCACCCATGTCTGTGCAAGTGTGTCTCTTCTGCAGCTCCGACTTCACAAGGGCCAATGCCTTAGTGGTAGCAGTGGCAAAAACCAAGTCGTCGATGTACACGAGGATGTAGAACGGTGGCAGCAAAGTGTTGGTACGGGGAAACAGCGACGTCTCTGCAGTCAAAG